AAAAAACACCTCTTGCATTCATGAAATTCCAAACAGGATCCAATCTTTGGTTCTCTTTTCAGGTAATAAAATGGCTAGATATACTAGTTCAATAAATTAACAATCAGCAAAAATCAAGTCATTAAGAAAACATATACCTACCAAGACCTTATCATAGATTTTATCTTTAACTGTTATTGCAATGTTTTCCAAATCCTCATCAGTAATATCTTCAACTGGTCGAAATGAACAGTATTTTGATGATCGTCTTCTTTTGGGTACCTTCAAACCGTCCTAGGGAAGAAACAAGCTCATTTCACCATCTGACCTCAAAGTCAAGGACAGACCAACAACTTTTACATCCCACTTTTTTTTTAAAAAAACTCTTTTAGGAAAAATAACTTTGCACAACCAGAAAGTAGTATTTATTGTATTGTTATTCGCTCGGCCCTTCTTTTCCCATCTCAGAACTAACTTCCATGTCCTTCATTTTTGCTTCGACTTCGGATTTATGCAAAATACCCAATTTACTGCTGTATGTATCCCACTGTCTTTTTTCTTTGAAATATACATCACTCTTTGGGAAATGTCCATTTTCCCCTTTCTCCACATACACACATTGTTAAAAAACATTACAAGCAACTCAGAATTCTCCTTTTCTTTTGCTCTCAAAACAGAACAGGTTTGTTGTGCTTCTCCTGCTACATTCTTCTTTCTTCATCTGCCACAGTGTCTGTGACACACACTGTTCATTGTTGTAGCTTCTGTGCAGGTACACATGGGACTGTGCAGTTCTAGGCCAATTGCGGGAGAGCTAACAAGCTTTTACAAAGATCTTTCTAGAGCTTTCGAGTGCTCCCCACCCCGTCTCAGTGTATCCCTTTTCCCACTCAAAGGGTCACGTGGCGGGGACGGGGTGAGCACTCTTCCCTCAGTTCTCCTTTTGCCACCATGAGGACAGTGAAAGCCTTTTATTTCTCCATTGCTGCTTCCTATCATCATGAAGGCCTAATGGCCTTATTTAAGAAATGCAAGGAGTGTGGAGTCAAAATGGCAGAGAACAATGACCACAAATCCTGCCTACTCTGTTTAGGCAAGGGACACAATACAACTCATGTTTGGCCTGCTATCGCCTCACCCCTAGAGTGAAAGAGGGTAGAGCAGCTAGACTGAAAGCTGCCTTGTGGGAGAAGGCTTTGGGTGCCCTGGACCCCCAAGTAAAAAAACAGGCACAAACCAATAAAAGACCTAGGGCTACTTCAGTAGCATCAGCTCCATCCCCATCAGCCTCGGTACTGACCACACTGCTGGTGCTCACCCATTCGGTGTCAGAACCGCTTTTGAAGATGTCAAAAAAGAAAGCTAAACATCAGGATCAGTCTACCACTCCTTGACACTGCACGTCACCTCGACGTCAGGACTCCACCTCACTTCGATGTCGTATGTCTCTGGAAGCTACAGTCAGCTCCCAGCACAGAGGTCAAACGGCTGATTCAGCGCAGAGCCAACCATTGACTCTGAATAATCATCTTTCCATGTCGCCTTGGCGCCAAGTTTCATTGGTTCGCTCGATCCATCTTTCATCAATACCAAGGACTCCCTCACCCTCCAGGCATCGACATTAATCCCCAGTTCCTTCTAGGCATCGACATCAATCCCCAGTTCCTTCTGATGACAATGTTTATGAGGTTCCTACTCATCAGGACAAACCAAGAGGTGATGAACAACAGGTTCCTCAGCAACCCCCTCAACAACCGTCTTGGTTTCCACTTCCAATGATGTTGCCATCACAATGGCCATCATGGGAACAACAGGGACAATGTGTACCATTTCCCTGGCCTGCCTTTAACCCACAGGACCAGCAAAGGTCCAAAGATAAACATGCACCCAGCCACTTATCCATGGGTGACTCTGCTTCTCTTCTGTCTGAGCCGGAAGAACCAATGGAACCAGACTCAGAAGCCAAATTCAAGTACGAAAAATAAATAAATATAACACGTCCTTGCCATCACCTGACGATACCATCAGAGACCCCTTGGCACTGTCCCTAACTGAATACTGAAACTGTATTCTGAACAGCTGATTTGCATGGCCAAATCCTTGGGCCTCGAGTACATGTCCACAGAACCTCAATCAACAGATCCCATTATGAAGGTCTTATATACTCCAGATCTGAGCCCCATTGCTCTACCTCTACTACAAGGTATCTGTGACATTGCCATGAGTATTCAGCCCAAGACTTCGTCCACCATGGCTTCTGCTAAGAAATTAGGAAATTTATATAAGGTCAGAGAAGATAAAGCCAGCTATCTGTTCCAACATCCACAGGCTAATTCCTTGGTCATAAGAACATAAGAACATAAGAGATGCCAATGTTGGATCAGGCCAAAGGCCCATCCAGTCCAACACTCTGTAGTGGCCAGAAATACCAGTGCCATCAGGAGGTCCACCAGTAGGGCCAGGACATTAGAAGCCATCCCACTGAAGTCTCTGAAGTACTTCCTGCCAAGGGTAGAGCGAGGACACACTCTGCACCTTTAGACAAAGAAGGCTGCCGACTAGACTTGCTGGGACGAAAAATTTATTCCTTTGGGGTAATGGGACTTCATGTCTCTAATTTCACTGCTATTATGGGCTGTTAACAAATGTTGTTATGGGATCGTATGAGTCAATTTAAGGGTAGAGCGAGGACACACTCTGCACCTTTAGACAAAGAAGGCTGCCGACTAGACTTGCTGGGACGAAAAATTTATTCCTTTGGGGTAATGGGACTTCATGTCTCTAATTTCACTGCTATTATGGGCTGTTACCAAATGTTGTTATGGGATCGTATGAGTCAATTTATCGATTCCCTGCCTTCACAAGGGTATTACTCCTGGAGGGTCAGAAATTAGGCAAAAAACAGTTAAATGCAGCCAGACACGTGGCTGACTGTCACAGCCGAGCTATGGCATCAGGAACTACCCTACAGAGACACTTTTGGCTGAGATCCTTGGCTCTCCCACAGGATATTAGGGCCAAAGCTGAAGACCTTACATTCGAAGGCCAAGAGCTATTCAATAACAGAACCCACAATACCCTAGATCACATTTGGAAAAACAAGCTCACTGCTAAGTCATTGGGCATAACATTGTCCAGCTCTCAGCCTTGAAAGCAGAGATATTTCCCAAGACCTGGTCAAAGGTACAGGTTCCCTGATTACAGATTTCAGGCACCCCAAAATCCACAACAACCCTACAGGTCATTCCATAATCCAAACAACCAGAATACAAAACCTCTTAGATCAAGGGGTAAACATTCAAATTAGGCCCCAAGGAAGCAACATCCCAGAGGGTCAGCTCCAGCCTATCGGGTCAAGTTTTCTTTTTTGGACTAGTTGTCCTATTTCTTGCAAGTTTAGTTATCTATTACTGACAATGCTTGGTTCTCTCAGTAACAAATAAAGATTATTTCATTGAGTTTGATTCTATGCCTCCACTTCATCCCGTAATGCTTCCTTCAGCGCCTCCCTGCCAATGTTCCCTCTAAGGTGTGCAGTCTCGTGAGCAGAAATTTTACCCTGTGAGCCAAAAGTGGTCCTAGCATTAAAACTGTGAGCGGGCCGACAGAGCAGGGAACGCTCTGCAGACTGCCTCGCCGCCACCGCTTCAGAGCCGGGGGGGGGGAGAGACCAGCGAGGCCCGAGCGGCTTGCAGCCACCGGGTCTCGCTTCGGAGCTGGGGGGAACCGGCGGGATGGGGAGGAACTTACCTCCTCCTCCTGTTTCCTCCTCTTCCTGATAGGTGTGGAGCTCCCTCCCCCCGTGAGTATCGCGGGTCCCGCCCCTTGTCTATATACTAATAGCAAAGGC